CTCCCATTAGCCTCTGGACAATGCTGAGAAGTATTAATATCTCCCCTGCTGAATAAGGCCTACCCTCTGTGGCCTTGGCCTCTTTGCCTTTCTTGTCCTGCTCCCCTCACTCCCCTATCTGTCTCCCCTAGAGTCTCTCCACAATAAATCACTTGCACATGAATCCTCTTCTCAGAGTTGCTTCTGGGGATACTGACCTTAGGAACTCTCTGAATTAAACCTAACAAAAGGACTTTGTAACAGACAATATTGTATGTTGTTTATTATTCTTTCACATTAAAAAATAATTATAATATCTAGTCCAAATATGGCCTCCATGGACCATAACCCCAATATCACACTCTGTGTAGTTCCCCCCAACACTGAATCATGGCTGGCCTAGGACTCAGTAACCACAGAATGACGCAGACATGGATCTGTGCTATTTTCAAGTTTAGCCTTGAAGAGGACTGGCAACTTCCATAGCTCCCTATTGGAATATCCCCTTCCCTCAGCTGTCATGTAAAAAATCTGGCTGCCCTGCTGGAGAAAGCACATAGAGAAACCCGTGGAGGAAAAGAGAGCCAAAGATGCATAGAGAGAATGAGAGACAAAGTCCTAGGAGTCCCAGTGATCTAGTTGAACCCAGATTGCAGCCATCTCCACCAAGATGCCAGACGTTTGAGTGGGACCCTCATGGATATTCCATCCCAGTCAAGCCCCCAGATGACTGCAGTCCCACCCAACATCATGTGGTACAGAAGAGTCACAAGCTGAGCCTCGTCAACCACAGGTTCATGGGTCATAAAAAGGTGATGATTGTTTTAAGCCACTAGGTTTGTGGATGGTTTGTTATGCAGTGGCAGATAAAACCAAAACAGAAATGTGTATTCTTTGTAAACAAAACAAAAACAGAAATACAAAGATACTCAAGCTATAAAGAAAATCAAAATGATCCAAATCTCCATACCAGGAGAAAAGCCCTGTAAACATTCTATTGTATCTCCTCCTAGCCTTTTCCCATGCAAACATTTTCCCACATGAATGTGATCATAGTGTATACACAGTTTATATCCTGCTTTTATTCCACTTGGCAGTATATTGTGAAAATTTTCCAATGCCATTACAATTTTTAAATGTGCATAAATTGGGGACTATCATACTCTATCATATGGATGTTCCATAATTTATTCAAACATTCTCTCAGGACTCTTTTTAATTTTTTACTTTTGTAAATACAGTTCGGATTAGTACTCTTATAGTGAAACTTTTGCTGCATCTGGGATTACTTAGATTTTTACAAGTTGAATTATCAGATCAAAATACATAAGTTTTTTAAAGTTCTTAATATGGTTTGGCTCTGTGTCCCCACCCAAATCTCATCTCAAATTGTAATCCCTGTAGTCCCCATGTGTCAGGAGGGGAACCAAGTGGAGGTAATTGGATCATGGGGCAGTTTCCCCCATGTTATTCTCATGATAGTGAGTGAGTTCTCATGAGATCTGATGGTTTTATAAAGGGCTCTTTCCTCTTCTCTTATCTCTTCTGTTGCCATGTGAGAAGGTCCAAGCTTGCTTCCCCTTTGCCTTCCGTCATGATTGTAAATTTCCTGAGGTCTCCCCAGCCATGCAGAACTGTGAGACAACTAAACTTTTTTTTTTAATGTAAATTACCCAGTCTTGGATGTTTCTTTACAGTAGTGTGAAAACGGACTAATACAGTTCTGGATACATGTTTTCAAACTACTTTCCAAGAAACCTGTGACAATTTGTCCTCTACTAGTACTTAGTGAGAGAGCTATTCTCTCAGTACCCTTCGCAGCCATGAGTAGAATTTAGTTGTTTTCTGTTTTATCTTTATGAATTTGAAAGACAAATAAAAAGACATTTTTGTGTTCATTTGCATTTCTTTGGTCATTAGTGAGGCTGGACATTTTTCAGACTTTTAATAATCAATGGTATTGCATTGTCTGTGAATTTTTCCCATCCTTTCCTACTTCCTTGTGTAAATTTTAGTTCTTATTTATCAATTTATATGAGCTTGCAAAAACCTATACATGTACCATAAGGCACTAAAGGTCTGTCAGAATGTAGAAAACATTATATTTAAATTTGTTATTTAACTTTAATTTTGCTCAAAGATGTTGCTGTAGATATACATGCTACGTTTTAAGTAGGTATAAGCAAATATCAATATTTTTCTTTATGAGAAATTAAAAGTCAAATAAATTTGCTCATCTGCTGCACATGAACTGAATTTCCTATTTTGTCAGGCTTCCCACACACAAGCATTGGCAACTTTCCTTCCCTACCCAAAACAACAAAAAGTTAACACGTTCATGAACATTGGGAGTTTCAAGTTTAATCAGTGGATAAATATTTTACACAAGCTGTGAGGTTAAACATTTCGCTGAGAAAACACTTCATCACAAAAAGGGCTTGGATCATCAAGATTTAAGGCAGAAAAATCTCTCGCCAAACACCCAAGCGTCATGCTGAGCTTCTGTGAACACATTAGTCTAGTCAGCCAGCTCCGGCTCTGCACAGACTGGAGAAAAAATACTGCAGAGAAACTCATTTATCTACTTGATTGTCAGTGTCATGTGCTAACCACAGGCAGCTAGTAATGGAGGCCCTTGCTATCTTGAGTCAAATGGCTCTCAGTCAGGGGCGATTTTGCCCCACAGGGGACATTTAACAATGTCTGGAGACATTTGGGGGGTCCCACAACTGGAGGAGGTGCATTACTGGTATTTGGAGTAGAGGCCAGGGATGCTGCTAAACATCCTACAGCACACAGGACAACCCCAATAAAGAATCCAGTCTTAAATGTCAAAAGTGGCAAGGTGGAGAAACCCCACTCTAAACCAACACCATAGAAATAAAATAATGCTCTCTTACCTCTGCTGTATAATTATATTTGCCTTTCAGAATCTTCCTGTAAAGCCTTGTCTGACTTTCATCTTCAAAAGGCAGGAATCCGCTAAGTAAAACATATGTGATCACACCAAGAGCCCACATGTCCACTGCACTGGTATAAGGCTTCCTTAGCAAAACCTCAGGAGCTATGTACTCTGGGGTCCCACAGAGTGTCTTCATTGTCCAGTCACCGCTTTTGTTCCCAGAGTGTGCCAAACCAAAATCTGTAATTAAAATTTTTGACTCTGCACCTGGATGATAGTATAAGAGGTTTTCGGGCTTTAGGTTCCTATGAGTTATTCGCAGTGCGTGCAAATACCTAATCCCATCAGCAACCATCCGAAGGATCCTGACAGCATCCCGCTCTGTAAAGGATCCCTGAGCAATGAGTTGATCAAAGAGCTCCCCTCCGGTAGCCAGCTCCATTACCATATAAACTCGATCCTCAGCCTCAAAGATCTCCATGAGCTGGACAATGTAATGATGGCTAACCCGCCGCAGGACGCTCAGCTCAGACACACACGATTCTCTACCTTCTCTCTCTCTGGTTTCCATCACTTTTATTGCAAAAGGTTTCTTGGTGGTCTTCTGCTCTACCCTGACAACCCTGCTGAAACTACCTGTCCCAATAAGAGCTTTGATATCATATCTGTTGGGAAGAAAAAACAAACATGTTATCCCCAGAAGTGATGATTCTCAAAATTACGTAAGTCCATGCTTTATATCATTTTTTCTATCCTTCTATTCCTCCCATCAGATTTCTTTGCTAATTATTACTTGTGTTTATTATTTTTGAAAGTTGCCTCAAATCCTGTTTCGAAATGGAAGAAAATGCTATAAAGGTAATTTGTTGGTAGAAAGACAATCTTAAATACAATAACTACCATTTATTATACAGTTATTATATGCCAACAATTTTTAAAAATCTTATCCGTACTAAAACCCTGCTGGGTAATATAATGATATCCCCCTTTTTCAAATAAGGAAATTCAGACTTAAAAAGAAGTTAAATGAGTTCTCAAGGCCACCCAGATTATGGTTGGATTGGATGGGATTCAAATCCAGCCCCTTCAAATGCATTTTACAAAAACTGTTTCAAGAATGTTAAGACCCCCTTCTACTAATTTCTTCCCTTCCTCTAGCCCTTGTTTTTATCATTCTTCAACAACAAACAAATCAAGTGGGGGAGAATACAGTAGAAGCTTACTCCTGTTTATAATTTCTCAAAAGACAGAGGATCCCATATCAGGAGACAGAGAATAAATAAACAGTGTGTTTCTTTGTATTGCTTGGCTGTGAGCTCAGCCCCAGGCTCGTCTTGTACACAGTAGCTGTTACTAAGGAAGAAGTAAATGCAGCTGTGCTATTGTAAGAGCAGGTTTCAGCAGTCTGGTGGGAGTAGTGCTATGGCCACCTTGCAGCCAGTAGTTTCTCACAGTCTCCCTCCATCCCCATTCCCGCGCTTGGAATCGCTAGGCAGTGAAGAGAATTTTAACATGGAATGTATGTCAATAATCTGTAAACCAATTATCCCACAAAAAGGCCAAAAACACACTTTTACCTATGTAACAAATCTGCACATCCTGCACATGTATCCCTGAACTTAAAATAAAAGTTGAAGAAAAAAAAGGCCTGGATGTCAGCTCAGATTTCAAATGCTAGGGATCTTAAGCTTTAATTATCTGTGTAAACCTCTATTAAAATTTAAGAATCTGGCCAGGCACGGTGACTCATTGTGCAATCCCAGCACTTTGGGAGGCCGAGATGGCAGGATTGCTCGAGCCTAGATGTTTGAGACCAACCTGAGCAACAAAGTGAGAACCCTTCTCTATAACAAATTTAAAAATTAGGCAATCATGATGCACAGCTGTAGCCCCAGCTACTCGGGGGACTGAGGCAGGAGGATCCCTTGAGCCCAGGAATTTGAGGTTGCAGTGGCCTGTGACCAGACCATTGCACTCCAGCCTGGGTGACAGAGTGATACTTCTGTCTCAAAAATTAAAAAGAAAAAAATTAAAAAGGAATCCTATCAAATTTAGCCCTCTACCTCATATTTAAGATGTGTCGAGAAAATGCTGGACTTAAAATCATTATTTTATAGCTGGAAAGAATATTAAAGTTGGGTATTTAACCCAACTTCTTGTTTTACCAATGAGGAAATTTAAAGAACACATTAGCCAATCGTTGTAG